CCTCCACTACTATTAGGCCGACCCCTCCGATGGCGAACGAGCCGTAGTGCGCCAGTTGAAAGTCGTTGACATACCCGTCCTCCGACACCCACGTGACCATAGGGGACACACCGATGCGGTTCTTGAGTGTTAGGCCACCGAGTTTCACGGGACTGAACAGCTTGGAAGCCTTCGTAGCGCCTACACTCATATTTTATTTATTAATATAAATAATGTAAAATAATTTTCAGAAATAAATAGTTTATTATAAAACACTTATTACTGTAAAAACTAATTGTGACCGTTTTTATGTTACCTCCTATTTATATACGAAAGTAGTTTGTTTAGTGCATGCGATATGAGTTTTATGTCATCTAGGATTACGTGATTTGTGCCGGGCACATTTATTGTATAATGCTCGCTTATCAAATATCAAGGGTTTTTATCACATTTGTACATTTTACACTCATAAATATTATGATTGAGTTCAATTTAAGATTATTTCTAGTTCAAAATTGTGTAAACATTGTTTGATTAAAAAATATGGCTATTTATAGCTAAATTAAAAATACTGATTAAACACAAATATTTCAAAAATCTTAAAGGAGTGGGAAGTGATCTCAAGTTTTTTGAGTACGAGTCCACCCGAAAAACAAGATCCGGAAACCAAAAGCTACTGAAGATTTCAAACGCAAAACATAATTACACACAAAATGTAATTTTTCATAAAGGAGTTCAATTGTGCAATTCTTTAGACATTAATATTAGATATCAACAAAATTTCACTACTTTTAAATCTCATTTAAATTATTTTTAAAAATAGATTGTATTTTAATTGTTACTGTTTTATTATTATTATATTATTATCATTATTATTGTTATTGATTTGGAAACTAAGTTCGTATAAAATCGTTTATTCCTAAACTATAAAAATTAAAAATAATCTAATAATATACTTTCTTTCTAATTTCAATGTCTTTTAGTTCTCCAATGGAAAGACACTTAATTGCAGGGGGCTGGTAGCTTTTTCCATATGTGCTCTAGCACACAAACTATATGTCCTAGGTTACATTTGACCACACCGTTAGAAAGAGCGTTAAAAACTAGGAATACATGGTGTTGATGAATTTTTTCACAACATAATAGTTTTTGCACAGGGAGGCCGGGTATGTTGTCTAATTTGATGTTTACACAATTTTTAAAAATACAATTATACGAATATTAAAAAGTTATGATATTAAAAATGTAGGCAATCTAATCCTATACAAATTCCTAATTTAATAAAAAATTTTCTTGACGGCACCGGGAGGAACGGTAGGTGTTCTATTGTGACTCTACTAGGAATCATAGAGTAAATCTAATAAGTGTGTTGAATAGAGCTCAAAAAATGATTCAGAATCCCATTTTAAATTTTTCAAACATCTAATAAAATAACTGTCCTAGAGTACCCCAAAGTTTATACTTTTACATTGAATATTGCCATTGAAAAGAGTTTTGGATTATTTTATAATAGTCTACTTTTTCAATAGCAATATTCAAAACTTGAGATCACTTCCCAATCCTTTAAGATTTTTGAAATATTTGTGTTTAATCAATATTTTTAATTTAGCTATAAATAGCCATAACATTTTTTAATCAAACAATGTTTACACAATTTTGAACTAGAAATAATCTTAAATTGAACTCAATCATAATATTTATGAGTGCAAAATGTACAAATGTGACAAAAAACCTTTGATATTTGATAAGCGAGCATTATACAAAAAATATGCCAGGCACAAATCACGCACAGATCCCTGCGATTTGATTACATTTGTGATCCGTTTCCAGGGCTCGATGTGGTCGTCCCTCCAGATACCGGCGCAGTTGGGCGTGATTTTACCCCTTTCCTCGACGGCAGTCGCCTCGACCATTACCATACCGGCCCCTCCGATGGCAAAGGAGCCATAGTGTGCCAAATGAAAGTCGTTGACATACTCGTCCTCTGCCTGTCACGTGACCATTGGTGACACACATATTCGGTTCTTAAGGGTTATGCCATTGATTGTCACGGGACTGAACAGTAGGGATGACTGTTTAGCGCCTACACTCATCGTATTGATTTATGTAAGTAGTTATAAATATGTGTTAAAACTAAGTAACTTTGTAAATAATTTAATTAATAATGGTAATCCTAAGTGGCATAAGTATCTATTTAAAAGTACTTTATCTAAATTGCTTTTGAGTTAAATTTCAGTGCAATATCTATAACAACAAGATTGCCTTAAAGTACGTTATTAGAGTAGTTTTAGTCTAAATAATTGACATCTTTGTAACTTGATTGTGGTGTAATATTGTCACATAGTAATAAAATTGATACAGCACATTCTCTTTGATTTCATAACACGATGCCGTAATAACAGGTGTACTTATTGTCATATTAAATCAAAATTATAAAATACTTGATTATTATAATTTGGGTATATTATAATATAAAAGTTGTATACTCCATAAATTACTTATTGTACTAACATAATATTTATAAAATATATATTAACACAAAGTATTTCAGAAACCGTTAATAATTACGTTTTAATTAACTTTATACTCTATTAAGCATTAAACTAAAATTACAGCTTAAATTAAAAAAATTATTATGTATTTTTGTATTTGTTTTAAATATTTAAATAATGTTTGTAAATTTTGAAAAGTCAAATATAAATTTGAAATTAAAAATAGTGGAACTAAATCACCTATGATGGACTTATTTAAAATAATTGTATTTTTATATTAAATACAAAAATGAAACTGTAACAATTTAACTCTATCACAACAATAATAATAACACATTATTTATATTTGTAAATTTATTATAGAGTTAATTATTTTTATAAAATTGTTTATTATTATAAATGATACAGTTTGCCAAGAGTAATTTAAGGAAAGTTTCATACTAATAAATTTTAACAAATAAACTAATTTATAGTCTTACAGGAAAAAGGGTTTACAATTCATTTTAAAATACAAAGTTGCTATTTATAAGGTAATTTTATAAACTATATTAACAAAATTATTGTGAGTACAAATTAATCATTTTAATTAAAATTTTGTTATCTATAATGCTTCAAAAATATTTATTACGTGTTATAATTTTTAAAGTGGACTATGGTATTATAATTAAAATACAATTATTTAAGTAAAACAATTTCACAACTGTAAATTATAATTGTTAATCTATATGGATTATTAAAAGAGTTTAATTAATTAATTATTGGTCTAACACAGCTAAATAATATTAAATTATAACTTTTAATCTCGTATGATTAATAACAATGGATCCATATTATTTTTACAAATTCGATAAATACGTTTAATCATGAACATTAAATAAAATACGATTTTTAAAATAAATTCGTAAAAATAATATTTGCTAACAATAATTATGTTAAAAACATACGATAATACAACTGAAATATATCTACCAAATGATAGCACAGATATCATTGATAACCCGATCCACATACCAATAGTACCGCCAATATTATACACTAACTCCGGAAAACCCATAGCTAAATGCTCGACATAATGTGGCTCGTAATAGTACCTTGGTATCAAATTAATTTGTGTATAACTCAGATTAGATCTAACCTTAATAGCATTTGTCTGAATTTTTAAGTATAAACACGAATCAACATAACTAGTTCTGCATGATGCAAAAATCTTATAATAAATGGTCATATTTGGAACACTATTATAGCCACAATATCGATATCCTGCTAACTGTAGATGCCTTTCCACATATGTGTGGTACTCGATATAGCGGACAGGGAGGCACTGGTATGTCCTGTTTAGCTCTCGGACTAAACAGTCACGAAATTGATGAGAATAGTCGGACACATAAAACGGATCCGAATCGTCCGAATCGGCGTCGGTTTCGATGCAATCAAACGAATTCCGTTTCAGACGTCTAAACGACTGACTCGTAAAATAAATGTTTGTTTCGCTGTTTATCGATAAGAAAGTCAATTTGAATGATAAGCTGGACAATACGCTTATTAACATAAACTCTATCGCCTGGCTATTTACCACAAATACTACTCTGTCCAATTGGTCAGCATTTAAAATATTGTGTATATTTAATCTGTCCATGGTCGTAACATTTCCAAAATATACGTTTGCAATGCAAGCTGTGTTATCGGATCGGAATGTAATTGTATTTTCACGTTCCGGACATTTGATCCTGGTACCAGATTTTAGTAGCAAGTAACAATCTCTAATATTATTTGTATAGTCGTATATAAATTTTTTATATGCGACTAGGTCATTATTAGATAAAAGCATTCTGGTTAAATCACTTATGATATACGCTCGCTCAAATAAATTTTTCATTGTTTTTATTAAATGAATATGCAATGAATATTCTGGGTACTCTGATATTAGACCAGTCTGGTTTATGACATTGGTAAATATTAAAAATTTCATTTTGGGTATTTTGATTTGCTTAACAAATGTCATTCGATAAACAATATTGTTATTTGTATAATCTTGATAAGTATACATTATTTGTATTGCCATAAAGCTTATGCATATAATTAATGTCATGATCTTTACATATTTAATCAACCGTTTTAATTTTCGAACATTTGAACTAGGTAATCTTCTCTTAAGTAATAAATATAATAATTTTAATTTATCCAAAGTTTTAGAAATTATTGTATAGCAGCTCAACCCCAGCCATATACCTATTAAACCGCCCAATGATGACAAATAACCCACAAAATCTACCTTGGCTGAATATTTCCAAACCATAGTGAATAGGGATTTATAATAAAAGAGTATTTTTATATTAGTTTTGACAAATGACTGGCTAACTTCAAACCGCGATATATAATAATTGCAATCAATTTTACATAATTTATGTATCAATCGATAGTCCAATGAAACAAAACAACTCTTATTTGAATTATTAATTAGTAATTGACTTTCATTTTGAAATACCTCTGATTTCCAGTACAGAGTGTGTCCACACTTTTTGTACTCAAGTTGTTGCATAACTTTTAGCATACAATCGGATCTGGATTTTGGTCCAATATTAACAGTCCTATCATACTCAATACAGTCAGTGTAATATGGTCGGGGTAAAAGTTGTAATAATGTTGAGTCTATTTCGATGTTATAAAAATTATTTTTAGACACTTCAGACATTTTCGTAAAATATGCTCCACTATATACAGGGTGCACCAGAAATTCAGCTTTACTAACATTATGCAATTCAAGAGTAGTTTCTATATAATAGTCGTGATCAGTGTAATTTTTCAGGATATCATCATTAAGATACGTTAAACAAATACTATTATCAAGTTTATGTCGCAGGTATACCGGTGCTAATTGGGAACAGTAGCGTTGATTAGTATTTTTGTCAAATAAACACTCGATTTTAATTTGACGCCAAAATTCAAGTTTTGTAAGATTTGTGTGAAAATTGAAATATTTTTGATTCACGCAAACAGTGATCGACGACCTGTAGTCCCAATGACTTACGTTTCGTTCGTATTTCAAATCATTGATCACTTCGTACTTCAAATAATTGACGGTTTGGTCACAGAATTGATATATAAATCCACATATAATTAAAAATTTTATGATTACACTTATAGTTAAATTATTTGTCAATGTTTTTATTGTATCCATCATACTGTCTTATGAAAAGTGAAACTTTAATTGAAAACTGTAGTGCAATAAAAATGTAATAAAATTGCATATTACGCAAACTTGCAGTAATGTACTTTTTCTATTATTGTATTTTTAATATTCTTATTAAAATTTAATTTTTAATCATTTTATTGTCATTATATAATATAAAACATCATTATTTTGCGATTTATTTTTCAGTACTTACATCTATTATATTAAATTTTTAAATTAAATCTAAATAATTAATTTGATATTATTCTGGAAATAATTTATTGATTTATAATTAGGAATGCAGTAAAAGTGGATAAAAAAGTGGATTTTATAAATACGGTTTATGTGTATGAGTGTGCGCCATAAAAAAACTAATTTACAATTTTAATCAGTTTTTGATTTTAAATTATATTGTTTACAATATATTTTTTCATCAATTCATAAAAATAATTTATTGAATGAAGAAAAGGGAATAAAATGTAGGTTTTCTAATTACCTTATAACATTGTATTACTGTATAACTGTGATTCATAAAAAAAACACTCATTCAGTATTTTAATAAGTTTCTGATTTTAACAAATATTAATATTTTTAAAATAATTTTATATGAATATTAGTTTATATAAATCCTCAATTGATAAAATCGTATGACTATTTATTATAATTTTCTTAAATTGTTTAAAAATTCATAAACAAAACATTATTAATTAAATTTTTAATTAAAAAATATATTTATGAAAATTAATTATTATTCTCGTCTTTATGTAAGTCTTGTCTCCACTTATAAAAGCCTTTCCAACCGATACACCAGTCGTAGGAATCGGGATATTTAAAGGACTCAGAGTTAGCCAGTACATCGGCTGCACCATAAGCCCAGTGGGGGTTATTGAGGAACGCCCTACCGATGCATATAAGGGTCGCACTGTTATCCTGAAGTAACTTCTCAGCCAATAAGGGGTCAATAATTTTGCCGACGGCTGTCGTGGGAATACCGGCCTCTCGTTGTATAGCAGCCGACCCTTTATGCTGTACTTCCGGTGTATTAAACAAGTTGTAGTCAACTGTAGAGAGAATACCACCGGAAC